TAAGCCTTATATTTCAATTATTTATTTTATCATTTATAGTCGATTGCTTTTTTTAATAATCTTAATTTTAATATAATTTGAGGGCTTAGACATACATAAATGACCATAATAGCCATAATAATTTGACAGGACACTTTGCGTGGCTGCTGAGGAATTTGAGGTGACGTCTTCGTAATACGTCATGCTAACTGCATGATCGTAGAATAATGGCATGCTTTGGCTTGACCTATTGGTCCGAGTGCGGCTACAAAATTGATTGGGTAGCTAGGTTGACCCGAATATTTTTCCAGTTGGGCTCGGATCAAAGAATTCGACCCATTTATTGTTAGGATCGAGTTCAGATTGAACCCGAAATCCTAAACAAAACTCGAATAAGGATGAAAGTTCAGTTCGGGCCGAGCCGGGTCGGGTCAGGTTAGCTGGCCAGGCTCAATTTAAGTTTGGGTTTACTTTTCGACCCATTTATTATTTGGGTCGGGTTCCGGCTGACTATATCATTCGGGTTGGGTCATTTTCGAGTCAGAACTAAACCTAACTTATTAACCCAAATTGACACCCTATCGGTGAGTAACAAAAAAAACTTTATAGTATTACAAAATTAGATTAAAATTCTCCCAAAAAAATTAAAAAAAATAAACCTTTCCTTATTTATAATTATGATTATAAATGTGATAATTTTTTTTTATTATGAATAAAATAGCACAGTAATTTTTATTTTTTGTAAAAAAAATTTCATGTAAATTTGTATTGAAAGAAATTATATTTTGATGATGTATTAAAAAACTATATTTTAAATCACGGTTTGATGTCTCAAATTATGCTATTTCTAGAAAAGAATGATAAATATACATTGGCTAAAACATTTGGGGAGATTTGATCATCATCTAATGTTCTAAAACATGGTAAAAACATCAAAGATAAGAGTTTGAGGATAAGACTTATGGCATTCAACATGCTTCACTGGAGAGATCCTAGAAGAGTGTGAGTGTATGTGAGAGTTCTCCTGAAGGAGACCAAATGCGTGCTTGTAATTGTCTATACTCAAAACTGATGGAAACTTAGAGATTTTCTTATAACTTATTGTAATCTCGGTAAAGAACATCGGCGAGATCATTCTAACTCATTCAATATTAAATTTATGATAAAATATTTGTTTTGATTTTCTATAATGTGTAGAACTTAAATCTCTTTCTCCATTGATTTAGATTTTATGCAAATCAATATCATTTTTTCATTTGATTGTGTAATTTGTATTTTAAGTTGACAGTTTAACCATCTTCATGTAGTTTACCATTAATATAATCACATAGATCACATAAGATGTTAAAATGACTTGTGATCTAGTGATATAGGAGTAGGCTAATGGAACAATTAGATTAACCTACACTACTCTAAGAGAATATGAATATTATTTTTAAGATAGTGCAATCGTGTAGGAAAATTTGCAAATACTAGGGCTTTTGTGTGGTTAGGGGACTAATTGTATTATGAAACCTTAATTTTTTTATGACTACTGGGAGCGACTAATAAAAATTGTTGTTTCTAATTGTTAACTTTATTATAGTCGCTTTAATACATTTGGTTTGCATAGAACCAATTTAATAGAGGTGTTCTATCACTTTTTTGAACTCAAAACTAGTTATAGATTTTAATTCAAACAAAAATTAGGATTATAAATTTTATAATAAACAAATTTTGAACATTCATGCTAGACTCAAAATCAATAGACTATGACTTTTTCAGACTTTAGAAGTTCACTCATTCCCAGTAGGATCGATGCACAGACTCAATTTCCTACACTACCTAGTCATCACATATTTCGGTCATTGTGGGTAAGTAGAGGATTATGGGACGTGTTTGCCTAAATTTTGATCGATTGGAGGTGTTTGGCTACGGTAATCCAAATTTTGGTCATTGTGGGTAAGTAGAGGATTTATGGGAGGATTGTCGGGGATATTACGGAGTAGAGGGCCGAGGTTAGAATCTAATCAATAAGGATCCAATTCATGTATTGAGTGTTCACTGATGGGATGGCTTTGAGAGATTTCGGTAAACAAGGAATGCTTCCTCGTAGGAATCCAATAAAACTATTTGCAGTAAATGTTTTGAGTATTTGAGCTTTCCAAATAAAATAATTATCTGTTGAGAGTAGGATTTGGGTAAGATGATGTAGGTTATGTAAGAGAAATTTCAATGTTGGTGGTATTATAGTAGTTTGTGATGGATCCAAGAATGGATGATCCGGGTTTCAGATTGAGAGGAAGGTAGACATTGTGAATGTAGGAAAAATGTAGCTGAAGTATAGAGTTTCAGATTGATGTTCAATTAGCTGGGTAAAGAAATGAAGTATAAGGTTTTAGATAGGGAGAATGTAGTAAGAAGGATTCCTCTAAATGCGGAAATTGATGACTCCTCCAAAGAAATTGAAGAAAACTAAGAGAAATTTGAGGATTCCTCTAAATGCGGAAACCCTTCTAATGTGCCCAAGCAGCAGGGCAATCGGACAACGACCGGTGGTATAGACGAATCCAACAGTTAGGAAGAAGCTCTTAGTTGTAAGGTACGTACATTTCTCACTAGTCGCCGGTCGTCAGTCGCCAATGTGCCTTCAGTCGGAGTTGTTGCTGGTCGCCGATCAGGTGGTCGCCGATCAGGTAGAAGTAGATGCAAATGGTCTTGGGCAAGTGCTCAGATACCATAAAAAAGAATTGATATCGAATCAAGGGATTTACTCCCCACTACTCATTACCCAAAGCTAGGCTTAAGCTTTATTACATAACTAAAATGTACCCAATTCATGATTAGTCCATTTTAAGTTAAAACCAAACATAAATCCACATGTAAATAGTGTACCAAACACCGCCTTATATTAGTTCTAATTCGCACGTCATACATATAAACCCTCTCACCCTCAGTTGAAACATCTCAAATTGAAACCCACCCACAATGCCTTTTTGCCTCCATTGTCTCACGAAATCTCTCTACCTCTCTCTCATTTTCTTGTACGATAGTTAGCTCCTGTACTCCTCTTCTTCATGTGTTCAAATTCTTTCCTAGAAACCACTTCTTCTCCATTCGCCTTCTCCAGTCATCGCCCACTTCCCCGCTCCTGTTCGCCAAATCATATGCACTCATAAATAACCTTCTCTTTGTGCTCGTGCCAACCAAACTTCGCTTGCACAATAACACACCTTTGTAGTATGATGTTGAATAAATTGCACCAAATAATCTAATTAAAGTAGCAAAAAGTCTTATTCATATTTTATGAAATAATTTGCAATTGAAATATGATTTTGAAAGACATAATTACTTTCAAAATTGTCAAGTTCAATATAGTGTCAAAATAAATGAAATTAAACACCCTTATATAATCCACCAAATTGCTTGAGTGTTTAAACTTAAACATTCACAAAATTTGGCACATGTTAAATTAATTTTTTTGCTTAAATTACTCTCATTTTGAAAAGTGGTAAAATAAACAGTATTATCTATATAATTAAGTTACAAATCCAAATCAACTAATCTGATTCTACTTATCATAAAGACCAAAATAGATGAGTCTAATGCTATTAATAATGTCCAAATAACAAAGGATAAAGTATTTTCAAACACTAAATCCCAATGATTGTTATATTGACTAACAATTTCAATCAAGTGGGGCTAATTATAAATAAAATTTTAAATGAAGTTTTCAAAATAATAAATCATAATTTATTCAAATTAAAATCAATTATTTAACGGCTTAAATCAAATTTCATACACCCTCTGCAATAGTTTATCGAGGGTGACAAAATTTTATTTGTTTCAAAGCACAAAAACAAATGTTATATCATATGTATCACTATATGCATACTCAAAATAATCTCCATCATTAACATATGACTCGAGTCCTTTGTCCTTGTGCTTTGACCCAAAACTTCACATAAAGTAGCAGTTATGACTAAAGTCATATGACTGGTTGATTTGCCGTTAAATCTCAACTCGTGGTTGTTGACAAAGATCCTTTAGTCAAGTTGAGTCTACTAACTCATCTACTAAGTAGATCAGAGACCGTGACGACCTTAGATGAAAAAACCATGGGAACCTTGATCGAGTTTCAACATCATTCTCCCACAATTTGCTCTAAGCTTAAGATGCTAAAGTTTATAATAAAACTTATCTGTTGTTCTACACTGAATATTCAACGTTTAATGTAGTGCAAAAAGAATAGAAAGATTCAAACCAAAATTTACTAACAGCTTCCTCAAATTGCTGATCTAAGTTTCAACACTTGAACGATGTTCACAAGAACATTGAGAATACCAAAGAGAATGATTTTTATGACCGAGGATAGTAGGCATCATATGAAACACGACCTTTTTAGTCAAATACAAGATCTTCATAGCCTAGAATCGTCAGACAATTTCTATAAATGACTAAAAGCAAGCAATCTAAAGAAGCGATCAACAAGCTCTCAGACTAACATTCTCAGAGACAGAGATGAACACCAGCACAGAGATAGAGAAACTTTTATCGGGGATCTAATATCATGTTAGAAACAAAAAAATAAGACTACAACTTTAGTTGATTAATTTTAATACAAGTGCATACATAGCTATATAAAAACAAAACAAAGAGAACAAAAAACAGAACATAATAAATGAGAGTGCCTATGATAAAGATAATATAATATATTAATATTGATAATAATAAAAACTCTGGATTTTTTATAAACATTAATAATAGTCGTCATAATAACTCTAATCATTTTTTCGTTACTTCTTATGAGTTTGGCTTATGTTTTAGATATATATAGATAGAATGCGCAGATTCAAATTTGGAGATCAAAGCCGGCTGGATACCTTTCTACATATCAACAGGTCCATTTGGCCACTGTTCGTGAAAGTATTAGTAGCTGTGGTCCATTCCACCAAATAAACTCCAAGCGATCCCTTCCCTATATAATCCAGTGTATTTCAGATTTCCATAACAACTCCTCTTCATCAATAACAGAGAAGACGATGAAGATGACCAACTTATTTTGGCTGACAATACTATTATGTTCTTGCTTCTCATTACCACGCCTGCACGAAGCTAGCCAAGAAGAGACGCTAGGAAAGCTGATAGAAGCAAAGAGGTCATCATTTTCTTCCCAACAATCTGATTTAGTCTCGGGATTTGAGACCACTAAGTCCACCAAAAGGGCCAATCTCAACGCACAGGATGGGTCAATGGAAGGAGATAAAATCTCCAAGCTTCCAGGCCAACCTGAAGGTGTTGATTTCAATCAGTATGCAGGTTACATTACTGTGGATTCAGAGAATGGAAGGGCGCTTTTTTACTATTTCGTGGAGTCACCAACTGATTCATCCAGTAAACCGCTTCTTCTGTGGTTAAATGGAGGTAAAATTCATCAACTTAATGGACTCGAAAGGTTGGGTTTAACCGTGAATTAGAAATTAAGTAGGAATATAATTCATTCATTTTTTTCTTTTTTGCACAGAAGGTTGAGCATTTTTTTCTTTCTTTCGTGTGAGATTTCTGCAAACGAAAAACTCGTTTTTTGAATAAGATGAAGCAAGAGTCATGTTTTGTGATGTTTATGCATGAACATAGTCCTCTTTCTAATTATATACAAAAATCTATGTTGGGATGGAAATATATACATAGAGCTTTGATCTATTAGAATTCAAAACCAAAATATGGAATAGAATTACATCAATTCAAGAAACCCAAAACAAGAAACTCCAATAGAAGTACAAGAAAAACAATCTCAGAAAAGAAACCAACGATTTACAGGAAAATTCCGGAAAAAAATTCTGAGCCACACCAACAGAATTTTTCACACTAAAAATCCAGAAATTTGCGGAAATATTACTTCAGGCCATCGCTCTATAATCAATTGAACTCGCAAAACTTTGCTCTAAACCTTCCTCTCAATCTCACAAGAGAAAAACCTAGCTCTGAAATCCTCTCTCCCGACAATTCACCTTCACGAAGAAATCTCTATCAAGAATACACGGCATGAGCAAATCCCCTTCGGCGCTCGAATCACAAACATAAGAATTGAAATAGTGAAATCGTCTCGGCAGTGCGGTCTCACTGTGAGACTGTAATTATTTCACACGTTCAATATAAAGGATGTGTTGAGCGTCCAATTGGAATAGATATGTTTAGTTGCAGCCTAGTCACACCACCCGACACAGCTACACTAGTTAAGCTTGGCTACGCCATCACTGGAATCTTGCTCCGCTTGCCCTTGTGGGTGCACATGCTACTCAACTCCAATAATCTACCAATTGGAGATTGATTGCACCTGACACATGTCCACATGATATGCACCAACATTTATACCATCTTCATAGTAATATACCGTGCTGTGGCTAACCCCGAGTTTCTACATTCATGGACTCCAATTGAAGTCAAGCATAGCTTTAGTTTTTTCTTCGATTTCTCGATAGTCGCCATCTTCGTCCGTAGAAATTCTGAACTGTGTGTATCTTCTCCAACAATAACTGCAAATCTTCTAAGAGAAGCTTACAAAGTGTTACCCTAGTTGAATATGCTTTGTCCTAGTAAGAAAAACAGAGTTTGTAACAAGATGAATTACACTCATACTGTCACAAGAAAGCTTTCCAATCTCATGCTTTTTATCCAATTCTACCATATAGCTCTATATAAAAATCATGTCCTTGTTAGCCTCATTGATGACAATGTATTTTGTCTCTGTTGGTTGAATGTACAATAGTCTTATGCATTCTAAAAACCCAACTCACTGTTGTGTTCCCAAAGTGAAAGATATGCACTCTTGTACTCCTACCACCCAAATCTCTCATAAGATCTGAATCTACATATCTCTGTAGAATGATCTTAGCACTTTCATACCAAAGTGCCCTATCGATTGTTCCCCTCAAATACCTGAGAATCCACATCACTTCCTCCTGAGGATACATGTTTGAATTGCCCATGTACTTACTGACCACTCCTATTGCATATGTGATATCTGGCCTAATATAAATTTTAGCATATACCGGACTTCCAATTGTTGATGGAAACGAAGTTCTTCCCCTCTGTGTTTGCTCTGCTTCAGACTTAAGCGATCATTTTTTAGATGTCTTGAAATGAATACCTAAGGAAGTGCAAACTGCTTTATCTCATTCATGTTGAACCTCTGTAGGAACTTCTTAACATATTCTATCTGGGACAACTTCAGTATATCTACACTCCAGTCCCTGTTGATTCTCATTTTGAGGATCTTTTTGGTTGAACCTAAATCTTTCATCTCGAACCCACTTGATAATTACTATTTTATGTCCCCAATTTTCTCTATACTTGTCGTTGCAATCAACATGTCATTCACATATAAAAGAAGTAAGATATAACAATTACCGAAGCGTTTGATGAAGCAGCAGTGGTCTGTCGGCACTTCATGTATCCACTGTTTGGCATAAGCCCATCAAATCTTTCATACCACTATCTTGGGGCCCGTTTCAAGCCATAGAGGTTATTGTTTAATATGCAGATATACTTAGTTGCAGCGTAGTCACACCACCCAACACAGCTACAACTGTTAAGCTTGACTACGTCATCACTGGAATCTAGCTCAGCTTGCACTTGTGGGTGCACATGCTCCACAACTCCAATAATCTACAAATTGGAGATTGATTGCGCCTGACATATGTTCACCAGATATGCACCAACATTTATACCATTTTCATAGTAACTTACCGTGGTGTGACTCACCCCCAATCTCTACATTCATGGAATCAAATTGAAGCCAAACAAAGCTTCGATTTCTCGATAGTCACCATCTTCGTCCGTAGAATTCTGAACTGTGTGTATCTTCTCCAACAATAACTACAAATCTTCTAGGAGAAAGCTTGTAAAGTGGTACATCAGCTGAATGTGTTTATCATGGTATGAAAACAGAGTTCTTAACATGATGAATTACATTCGTATTGTCACTATGAAGCTTTCCAATCTCATGTTTCTTACCCAATTCTGTCAAATAGCCCTATAGACAATGTAGTCTACAAACCCAACTCACCATTGTACACCGCAAAGTGAAAAATATACTCTCTTGTACTCTTACCACCCAAATCTCCCATAAGTTCTGAATATTCAAATCTCTGTTGATTGATCTCTGCACTTCCATAGAAAAGTGCCCTATTAATTGTTCCCCTCAAATACCAGAGAATCCACTTCACCGTCTCCTGATGATACATGTCTAAATTGCCCATGTGCCTACTTACCACTTCCAGTGCATATGCAATATCTAGTCTGATATAAATTATAGCATATATCAAACTTCCAATTGTTGAAGCATACAAAGTTCTCCCCATCTGTATTTTCTCAGCTTCAGACTTATTCAATATTTCTTTAGATAGCTTGAAGTGACTACCTAAGGAAGTGCAAACTGTTTTCCCTCACTCATGTTAAACTTATGTAGAATCTTCTTAACATACTCTATCTAGGACAACTTCGGTATATCTTCACTCTTCTCCCTGTTGATTCTCATTATGATGATTTTTTTTTTATTTGAACCTAAATCTTTCATCTCCAACTAACTTGATAATTGCCCTTTTAAGTCCTCGATTTTCTTTATATCGGTAGTTGTAATCAACATGTCATTCACATATAAAAGAAGTAAGATATAACAATTACCGAAGCGTTTGATGAAGCAACAGTGGTCTGTCGGCACTTCATGTATCCTCTGTTTAGCATAAACCTGTCAAAGCTTTCACACCACTGTCTCGGGACCTGTTTCAAACCATAGAGGCTATTTTTTGACATGCATACCAAATTTTCTTTCCCTAAATCTTCATCTACTACAAGTGCGGTTGCCATCTCCCCCCCAAAAAAAAAAAAGTGTGGTACACTCATTCTTTCTACTAGAACTCCACAAAAAGTCTTACCTTGGAGCATCTACTTCCAACTACTTCATCTTTCAATTTGTAGACTCACTTGTTGTGTAATCCTCTTTTTCCATCGGGTAACACTGTTAAATCTCAGGTATGATTTGACTCTAAAGACTCTATTTCATCATCCATGGAAAGCTCATACTCCCTTGAATCTTCAACTTGAGCGACCTCCTCAAAATGTTCTATTTCATCACTATGAATTTGCAATAAAAAGTGTAATGAAAGTGAATACATGTGTACTCATCGTATCACTCTGATGGATTTTTGACTTCAGTAGCATGTGACCGAGAGACTTCCTGTGCTCTATCTGGTTAAGCATTTTTTTCTTCTTCCTCCTGGTTATCAATGTCTTCTATCTTAACATATTTAGACTGTTAGAAGTAACTGACAGAAAATCTTGAGTTTTATTTTTTTTTCTTGTACAACTCCATTTCATTAAAAGTGGCATTCATATTTCTGATGAATCTTTTATTATGATAATCTCATAGCTTTTACTCAAACTTATGTAAGCCATATCCAATGAATGTTTCACTTAACAGGTTTCAAATCAAGCATACCTGAACCATGTATCGACATGAACATATGCAGAACACCTAAATACTTTTAAATGAGATAGATTTACTTCCTTGTCACTCTAGGCCTCTTTACGTGAGCCTTCCTTCAAAGGTATTAATGAACCACAGTTAATTAGATAAACAATTGTGCTTACTTTTTTAGCCCAAAACTATTTTGACAAGTCTGCGTGCAGCCTCATGCTCCTTGCAAGCTGCATGATTGTTCTATTCATATACACAGCTACTCCATTTCGTCATGAAGTTCTTGGGATAGTGAACTGATGTTTGCCTCCTTTACAGCACAAAAAAATTTGAATTTCTGATCATGACACTTACCCCAAATATCTGATCTGAGACATTTTAACTTCAAGCCTATATCATTTTTAACATGGCCTTCCACTTCGTAAACACTTCCATACAATTTTAGTGTGATAATTAAAAAAGATGATAAATAGCGGAAACCTCTAATAAAGTGAACTGCAGCAGATCAAGAATTTAAAATAATATTATATGATTCTAAATATTGAATTGTAAAAGAAGTACTTAATATATACATTGTGTGCCTGGCAAAAAGGAATTTTGAGACGGATGTGGGCAAAATGATGAAAAATAAATTACAAAACATTTATTTCAAAGAAAATGTTGAAGTGACATCATTTGAAGATGAAAATTTACCAAATAAACTTTGATGAATTTATAAATGTGCTATAAAAAACAAAGAATAAAAATTGACAAACATGGGGTTATTTGAATAAAAGTTAATCAAACAATTACAAAAAATAGGTTAACACATAAGCTATCACTCAACAAGGAGAATTGAAAATTAATAATCAATATTGCCAAATCAAAATAGTTAGGATGAAGTTAATGATGATGAATGAGTCTCAAATTATCCAACATATAAATTTACATAGAATCTATCTAAAATTTTGAGCTCTAAAAACAACAATTTTATATAAATTGTTCAAGCGATAAATAAATAAAAATAATTTGCAGAATTCTTTAGAATTTTAAGCCAAAAATGCCCACATGTAGGACAACTACTTGAAGTCCTTACAAGCTATTCAATAGTTTTTCTATATGATTCCAGCTGAATATATTTTAACAATGCATTATATTTTGATGCATAAAATAAAAGGACCCGGATGCAGCTCGCTTGCTTATGGAGCTATGATGGAACTAGGACCATTCAGAGTAAACAGTGATGGAAAAACTCTCCAAAGAAATATTTATGCATGGAATAATGGTAAGTGCTGCTACTTCGAGACAAAATATCTTCATTAATTAAAGTCTCGAGATTATGATCTTAATTATGTTATTTTTATAATATCACAATACGTGCAGTGGCAAACGTAATCTTCTTGGAATCTCCTGCGGGTGTGGGTTTCTCATACTCGAATACGACGTCGGATTATGATAAGAATGGAGACAAGAGAACTGCTGATGATTCCTACACATTTTTAGTAAATTGGATGGAGAGATTTCCACAGTACAAGAATAGAGATTTTTTCATAACTGGCGAAAGTTATGCTGGCCATTATGTACCTCAGCTTGCCTACACGATTCTTATGAGAACTAAGACCGCATCTGGAAAAGCTATTAATCTCAAGGGAATCGCTGTAAGTATCAACTAACTGTATTGTATTTTACAATTTGGTTCTTTCTTCAATGAGTTAATTCAATATCTATAGTAGTTTACACGACAATGAAAAGAAGGTTTTTCAATATCAAACTTAGGCTGATAATACTAAAAGGAAATTGAAATAGATGCTTAGGATAATAAATGAGAAATTAAATAATACAAAAAGTTACATAGAAAGGTAGTGGAACCATATTGGGTAAACGAAAGACCCATGGTGTCTTCGATCCTAATGGCATCAGTGTCAACATTAGAGTATGATCATGAGGTTTAGGGTTGAGGGGATCGTGGCTCGAACACCATATAATGGATTTTGAAATAATGATTTGTTTTCTTATTGAGTTGTTGAATATTTATAAAGCTAAATGATACAATAACATAGTGATTTTTAAATTCAAAGTTAGGCCAAAAACTCCATAGCTAATATTGTTGTGTGTCGGAAGATCCACGGCGTTAGGGTGATTATTTATCGTCTTAACTTTGCACGAGGATCCAACACATTGATAGATAATAATAACGAGCAGCATGAGGAGACGCCAATATTTTTTACGTAAAAAGCTTTGGAGTGGGAAAAAATCACAGGGTCTAACCAGTCAAAGTAATACATTATATAATTATTAATATATAAGTATACTCATCTCTTGAATTGAAAATTATGAAATTATGTTAGAAGTTTTATTAAGAAACAATTTATTTCTGTGAGAAGTTATGAGTAATAAATATTTCCTTAGATTAAGATTTATTTCCTTTCATATTTTATATTTATTTCCTTGGACTAGGAGTTATTTATTTTTTTTATTTTAGGCTTTTCTACTTTATATTATTTTCTTTTATCTCCAAATAATTAATATGAATTGATTATTGGATATATTAATTTTATATCTTTCCTTTACATGTTATTTCTTTTTATTGTTTTTTTTATTCGATGATTCATATAAGAATTATTTATACCCCCTTTCAAATCAATAAAATAATTCTGCTTAATTATGTGTTATTTTGAATTTCTATATAGCATCAGAGTCAAATTCTCTATCCTAGTCGTCGTTCCTCCCTCTATAGCCACCACACTCCCTTCCTGCCATTCTCCTTGCAGGATGGGAGGGAAGCTTTCTCTCCCTGCAAGCTGCAATCCGTCGGGGAAGATCCCTGAAAGTCCTCCAGACAATTCACTTCCTTCTTGGTTTGCCAAGCCGGGAGCTGTGACTCTGCCGAACTTTAGAAAGCGCGAGAGTTTCCCCTTCCAGCTGAAAGCTCGACCTTACAGCTGGATTTTCTCACCAATAGCACAGATCCGGGGATTCAGATTTACTCATGTTGTCGGTTCTCTCCCTGCTTACCAACTTGTTGCCAGTGTTTGGTTAGTGACTCCCTTATTCCAACAACCCCAACCACTTCAAACTCTGCAATAGCAACAAACATCTTTCTCCTTCTTCCGCCAACAACCACAACAATAATTTCATTTTTTTATTTTTTTTAAACCAGAACAATTTTATTGATAAGAAAAAAGGTATTTAAACTAAACCCAATTACAATAGGCATAATAATGGAAAACAATAAAAACAGAATAAAATAAATAATAAAAAAAATAAAACATAATAATGCAAAAGAGAAAAAATATGATTCAGACTTAAAATCAAATAATAAATAATAACGGCATAGGGATAGTCGTTATAATACAATAACCCTCACATCAATCCTTAAAAAGAAAGACAAAATAAATAATTAGAAAAAAAAAAGATGTACCGTCTAATATCTCCAATAATCAATTCATATTAATTATTTAGAGATAAAAAAATATAAAATAGGAAAGCCTAAAATAGGAAAGGAATTAAGTCTCAGTTCAAGAAGATAACTCTTAATTTAAGGAAATAAATATAAAATATGAAAAAAAATAACTTTTAATCTAAGAAAATAATTTATTCCTCATAACTTCTCACACAAAGAAATCATTTCCTAATATAACTTCTAAACTCTCACTCAAGCAGTCAACCCTCAAATATCTACATGTTCATTCTTTTTGAAGATTAATTCCATCCCTAATGCACTCTTCAAGTAGCTCGGAATCTGATACACTACATCCATATAATCCTTCCTTGGATTATGCAAGTAGTGACTCACCATGCTCGCTGCAAAAGAGATGTCGGGTTGAGTGTGACACAGATAGTTCAAACAACCCACCAATCTCTAGTGCCTCTCACGATCAACTAGTTATCCTGCCCCTACACTCAGCTTGACCTTCTGATCAACTGAAGAGACAACATATTTGCAACACAATATGCTTATTTCTATGAGGAGACCTAGTATATATTTTTGATGGGACAAGAACATCCCTCAGGTGCACGAGCCACTTCAATCTCAAGAAAGTATTCAAGCTATCTAATATCCTTCAGCTCAAATTCATTACCTAATCTTACCTTTAGTGAGCAATCTCTGTTTCATCATCACCAGTGATAATGATGTCACCAACATACACAACACATCTAGTTATGTGGCATTCATGTTGTCAAAAGAATATTGTATTGTCTGCATTGATCTGGTGATATCTCATATCCACTGTAGTATTTTTAAACTTGTTGAACCAAGCTCAAGAAGACTATTTCAAGCCATACAGTGACTTCCTAAGCCTATTGTCAGTATTATACCAAATCCTGTTGGTGTCTCCATACATATCTCCTCCAGTAACTCACCATGAACAAATGCATTCTTCACATTAAGCTGGTGTAACCTCCACCCATCTTTCAATACCAGTGAAACCAATATCCTCACTGTACTCATCTTTGTTATTGTGCAAATTTTTTATCGTAGTCAATACTATATGTCTAGTTGTACCCATTCACCACCAGTCGTGTTTTTTACCACTCCATCTTTCCTTCTAGAGTTTGTTTCACTGTGATGATCTGCTTGAACCCAACTACATTTTCCCCTATTGGTAGTGGCCCTACCTTCCAATTTTCGTTCTTATCAAGAGTCATAAGCTCTTCATGCTTAGCTGCTTTCCACTTGAGATCCACCTTAGCAATCTACCGATACTTGGGTATAGAGACAGCGTCCAAAGATGCAATAAATACTCAATGTAAATGTAATATGTTAGAATATGAAACAAACTTTGCAATGTCTTTTTCCCACCCAAAATAATTGGGAGGATTTCACGCGTTGCTATGAGAGGTCCTCCTTAAAGTTAGGGGGTTAAAAGGAGGAGAAATCATATCACCAGAAAGCTCTGAGTCGAAGGTGGATGGTGTATGTATTTGAAGTGTCGGGGAGAACAAGGACAAAGAACTGGCTGTCATAAGCGGCACTGTAGACATAGTTCCCTTATTTGCTTTCCTCTTCAAGTATACACTCTTAGCTCACCTTCAGTATCAATATTATCACCTATGGGTTCACTCTTCTCATTTTCTAGTTCCTTAGTTGATTCTTCCCATATAACAAAATAAGGCACTACTCTCACCTGTACCACTCTCTCAACATTGCTAGTTACCCCCCTTGCTCATATCTCCAGTATCTGGAAAATAACTGAAGGGTAAGATCACCTTCTGAGTGTAGTTCTTTTCAAATTCTCTAATTGACACATCCATGCACACAAATAGTATCGCCTTTATCGGGCGCCAGTAGACAAACCCCTTTTTGAATAGCGGAATAATCTTGGAAGACACATTTCATTGCTCTAGCATTCAATTTCTCTACTGATGGCATGTTATCATCTATAAAACATACACAAAAAACCATAACAAAAACCTGCAATGGAAAGATCCTGTCATTATCTCCTTTCAACATCTGACAAGGAGACATCCAATCCAATACACTCGAGGGTATCCTATTGATAAATTGAGCAGTTGTCAAAACTGTTTGTCCCACAAGTACTTTGAGATATTCATTGTGGTAATCATGCTTCAAGCTACCTTTAGAATGTGTTTATTCTTCTTCTCTGTCACTCTATTTTATGCCAGTATTTATGATCATATTGTTTGATGTTGTATCCCTTGGCCGGATAAGTATTTCCTAAATAATTTGTTGGTATACTTTATTATATTATCAAACCTCAAAACCCTCACTAGTGCATCATATTGAGTATGTATTGTCTCCTGGAAGTCTATGAAGCATATAAACATATCACTCGTATTTTTCATCAAATATAACCAAGCAATACATGAATATCAATAAACAAATATTACAAAAAATTGATAACCATTAATAGAACTTATAGAATAAGATCCCCATATATCAAAATGTATCAAGTAAAAATGAACAAAACTTCTATTCCTAGAACTGATATAAAAGCTCTTAATAAGCTTGTCAAACTCATAAGCATGACAAACAAGATTTTAATTATTTTCCCTTTCATACAAAAATAAAAAAACCACTTAATGTGTCTGTGATGTAGCAACACCACATCCTCCACGCTCCTCTCAAATTCTACTACTCCAGCACTATTTAATATGCATGTAAAAGCTGAGTCTATCCCCTTTCGGTCCAAGTAGTAGAGTCCATTATGTCATGTACTAGTTCCAAATGTCTAGCCCGTCCCTTTCTCTCGGAAGATCATCTTAGGAATATCAAAATAAATAAGACATTTTAGTTGTAAAATAATGACATTATTGGATAAATGACTCGTTAAAAAAGAAAGAGCATACAAAATATTGTCATATAATTAGTACCTCTAGCAGCATTCTTACCAACTACAAGCTATATTGTAACAGCAGTCGTCTGGATGTTCTCTGGTACTGTTAGGGGAGTATAGGAAGAAAATTATCTAGAAACACATCATACGTCTAGATGCACTAGAATTTACTATCCATTAAGTGGCAATACTAATCCTTGATGATGACTGGTTAGAAGCATACTCAGTCTCATCTCCAGTTGTATTATACTTCCTCTTCAATAACTTCAGACACCCATGATCGTCATTGGTAAAAATCACACCGGTCTCTCCCTCCTACTCTTTTACCATAGATTTGCCTAGTAAACTCCTTTCCCATCTTTTCAACCACCACGGCCTCCACCCTATCCACGTTTGCAAGCCTCTCCCCCCTTACGTGGCATAGGATAGGTCTTGCTCAGATGCTCAACTTTACCATAGTTGTAGCACATGTGAGTCTCCCCATGGACACCTATCATACCTGAGCTCGAGACAATCAAACTTGATAACACACTCGGAAGTCCACTCAACTCGGAGTGCAGCTTCATGCGACTCTTCTGTATTATTGCAGTAATAGCCTCATCTAGCAAATGAATAGTCACCTGAGCTAGGAAGACTTATCTCCTCTGATCAAAGATAGGGTTGAGATGGGCCAGAAACTGCATAGTCCTCATTTGTGTGATCATCTCCCCTTTCTAGCATTCTAAATCGCCACAACTCAACGACGGTGAGAAGTGATCAAGATCTACCCACAACCGCTCCAGATCTATGGAGTATTTCTGAATCAATCTATCAGCATGTACCACTGTTTTATCTCATGTTAAATCTGGAACACCCTCATGTAGTTCTCAATTTCAGCATAAATCTTCTTCAGCTTTGCCCAGATGTCCATCAACTTTTGAATGTCATCTACTGAGGAAGAAATTGATCAAACTATTGAGTTGAGTAGCTAGGTATAGATTAAGGCATGTGTGGTCTTCCATTTATCCCCCTCAACACTGTCACTCGTTGGCTCGTCCTCAGTCAAATATTCCTTTAGTTTATTTCCTCCTAGAGCCACCCCAATCCGACGTGACCAACTTATATATGTGGTCAATCCATCATGCTTTAGATCCATGGAAAGGAGATCTAGCTTGAGTTGTCTCGAAGCACATGTTGAAGTAACTATTCCTGTCAAGATACAAGCTCTCTGCATGAACCCAACCAAACTTTCAAAACCATAGGATCTATTTTTCCTAGAAATTCCACTCCATTACCTCCTACACTATCTCCATCTTCTGTCATCCTTCATCACAAGGCTGCTCCTCCCTTGTTCGAAGAAACCACTCGTCGATTCAAAGTCCTTCTCTTCAGTCTCTACTGTTCATACAGAAGCCACTTCTATAATCCCAAGAAGTCCACTCAAGGACTTTAGTGTTGCAGATCAATCCTTAAGTCGTTGGTTCGGATTTGGCAAGTAGAACAGTGCGCGGCCAGGCCTTCATTGTTCTAATTTAGGTTGGGAACAAGAAATCGTTGGTTCACCTGTGAGACGAATTGTGACACTCAGAGAACTCCAAGAACCTTCGCCAGTTCTACACCGCGCTAGCCTTTTACCCTTGGCATCTCCTCTTCCTCGTCTCACAAATCTAGCCGCAGAGGACTCCCACATCATCGCACGCTTCTCTGGTTTCATAGCAAGAGTCGGATCGCGACACACAAATAACTCGAGAGACCATTGTTTATTCCTCACGTCCAAGCTTTTTACCCTCGATGTTTCCTCTTCCTTGTCTTGTTCTTCTCAATACAATGGTTGGCCGGAAGAGAGTAGTGGTGGTACTTAGCAGCACTGTAGCGACAGCTAGGGTTAGAGAGGGACAGGTGAGAGAGAGAGAGAGAGAGAGAGAGAGGGGGGGAGA